ACATTGCAATTTGTTCATGTTAATGGAGTTGCAGATGGATTTTGAACTCCCTACACTAAGAATAGTTGAAATAGATGGAGAATGGTACGCAGTAGGACTTCATTGACACCAACAACTATGTATTGCTTTTGGACTTATAATTTTTCATATTATTTTAAAGTTATATCATGGTGTATACATCAAACAACTTATTTTTATATTTGTTTAGTCTATATTCATGGGTAAAAAGACATTTTTATTGTGTAGCATTTCGAACTATACAGATATCATTTGCAAGAAATCGTTTATAAATATGTTAAATGATCAACAATATTACCACTAAATTCCTTTTCCCAACTCGGATGATGTTTTTAGCCAATAATCTCAATCACTAAACTATAAAGGCGATGATATGAACACATGATTCCCTATAAAGATGACTCCAGTAATGAAGAGTTGATTCGTAACATTCCACCACCTAATGTCATTATCATAAGTTTAGGCGATAAAAAGGAAGTTAGTGGGAACGAAAGTTCAAATGTCGACGATGCTTGACGTAGGCGAACAATGCTTCATGTGATCGGCTATATTTAAATTTTCTATTTTTATAGAACATTACGTGTTAATGTATAAACGTAATTTTAATTTTTTTTTTGTCTTTGATCAATCATTATGCTCGAATATTTTGTTTAGTTTACTACTTAATAGTTCGCAATTAATGAAATCTTATATTTTGTAAAAAGTAGAATATTTTTTGTAGTCGAATAAACCTACAACAATTATAACACGAAAATGAAAATATAACATAAACAATGAACATCATTATAGTGTACAAATTACAACTTTAAGGCTTAAACATCATTCGACTTTTCAAGGTTGGTGTTGGAATGTGATTCAAACATGTGGCTCGATTGTACCCAACTTGGTCCATGCAGTATGATGAATATCAAATTATTACTCATGCATGAAAATTTGAGATATTAATGATAAGCATTCAACACAATTTATATATCAAACTTTAATATCATGCAAGTAGCACCTACCAATAAATTATATCAAATATTAGCAGCTATTGAGACTTACAGTTCAAATGTTTTTTTCAACATTTACCAAGTATCGATTTCAACATTTTAACTGTTGGTCTTCACATTTTAGTTTGACAGTTGAATTGTTGGTATTTATAGTTAGCATCTGATGAAAAACATTATGAAATAATTTTGATTATTTATTTCTTGGTTAACAATTCTATTATCTATTGTATATTAGATATATTCATAGGTTTTTCTTACACAAATCAAACATCAAATTATGGCATTATTTAGCATTAATGAGCAATAAATATACCCAAAAAGGTATATACAAGAGTAATTTGGACATTTCGCATCCCAGAGAGAGAGAGAGAGTAGCACCTTTTAAAAAAGTGATAAAATATTTTTTACAATTGATAATGTAGGGACATCTATGCAAAATCCCCTTTCTTTAATCATAGCACACCATAATTATTTATCCTTTATTCATAGTATTGCTTTATAAAGTAAAATTTATTTTCTTTATTCACACATATGAGTTATATTTATAAATTTCAGTTCTATAAATTTTGTTAGCTACAGATAGAATATTACGAGTCAACGTCTTTAAAGATAAACCGGTCCATAACAAGGCTCTCTTCAAGGTTCAAGCCTGAGCAGGTACATAAGAATTTACTCCCCGGTCTACATGTACATTGGAAAAAGAATGTGCCTTTAATAACAATGTAAGCAAACTTGAAGGAGCATTTTAACAAACTAATATGAAGCTATGATTCAGAACAGTTTTTCTTGGAAATGGAAAATGAAAACGGAAGCGTCAAGCTCAAGAAAATGGTATGGTCCAGGTGAAAACGGTGTTCAAAAACAAAGAAAATGGTGTGGTCCAAGTGAAATTATCAAATGAAATGGAAATCTTTCTTTTGGGCATTGGATTGGTCTTTCCCTCGTTATGCTAAGTCAGTAAATGCAACAGCCACTACACAGTTTTTTTTCAAGTTTTGCTCTTCAAACTCTCAGAATTGAATGGTCTCTTCATAAATGGAAAGCTGCTTATGCACCACTACCATCTCCTCCCCTCCCCTCCCCTCACCCCTACAAAGGATTCATATGCACGTGTCAAGAACGTTTACTCAAATCATGATATCTTGAATTTCAAATCATTTAAGTCACAACACTTCAATTGTCCTAAGTGGGTAAGATAAAGAAAGAGTGTAGGTGGACGGTCGACTAACTCACTTGACGTCTGAGATATTATGACATGAATAGTTTCATATCGATTTGAGTGGATGGTCATACCTATCCGATTACACCTCTCACAACACTCACCCATCCACTTGACCCAACTAACCCTCACCCCATGCAATTTACATTGTCTATGGACTATGAATGATTTTATATGCACACGTGGTAGAATTTTTCATTCAAATTAGTACAATTCAAAATGTCCAAACTTTATCAAGTCACAACAACTCGAACATTCTAAATGGGTGAAAGAGATAAAAGTAATGAGATGATGGACTCACTCGATGGTCGAAATATTGCCCTTGTTTGAGCCCCATACTTTACAAAAAATGCAATTTTTAATAGTATTTTGACATCTTTCAATCACACATTTTTCAATAAAATAATTGACGTCAGGTAAAATAGTGATTATCCTATTGCCTTGTTGTAGCAGATGATTCGCAAGAAAGAAACGAAAGAAAATGCCCAAAAACCAGAGAAAATACTCTGAAATCAACTCAATATTATTAATAATGCAGAATGACAAAAATTAATCTACAAGTCGAGTTAAATAGCTGCAAAATACGAAATTATACCGTGCTACCAAAAATGACAAAATTCCGAAATTACACCAGAATAAAATATTAAGTAAAAGAAGTAGGTTGCCAAAAATTTGGCTTAATTCGAGTTTTCTAACATATGGAAAAAGGGAAACGAAATATTACCATAAATAGCAAAAATAACTAAAAATTGAATTTTGGAAAGGAAAACGGCGGATTTTGGGATCTAAATTGATGCCCACCAAGCAAAGCTTGCTGGCCAGGACGTGCACGTCGAACAGAGGTTTCCGGATTAGGTTATAATAGCGATTTCGATAACCGTAGCTAAAATTATAGCCAAATTACCAAAAACGTGTCAAATTCCCCTTATTAAGGAAATAATTGCGATTCACTTCCCATCTTTGCGCCGATCCGCCATCTCATGGTATCTCAGTGCCATCATCGTGTTATCTGACAAATTAGCGTCACTCGACTAGAATCCTCCTGTATCAGTCGCCCTGGGTTGGAAAGAACTCGCCCTCGATTTCACAGTAATTTCATCGGACTCCATAAAACAAGGGCTTAGGTGTTTCACATTGAAGACGTCAGAGGTCTTCAAATGGCTAGGGAGGCGCAACCTGTAAGCATTATCATTGATCTTCTGCAGCACCTCACAAGGTCCAATCTTCTGCTCCTTTATCTTATTGTACTCCCCAGTTGGAAAACGGTCACGAGTTAATACTGCCCAAACAAAATCACCAACATCAAACAACACCTAGCGCCGATGACTATCTATCTGAGCCTTGTACTTAGTATTACTATCCTGTAGGACAGCTTCACCTGCTCATGGATACCCCGAAGATGCTCAGTCATCTCATCAAATTTGTTATTGAAGCGATCCACACGTGGAATTGGAGCCAAATCAAGTACCCTGGATGGATTCCGACCATAGACAATTTCAAAAAGACTCAATCCGGTGGTTCTATTCCTTGACCGGTTATAAGCAAACTCTGCTTGAGGTAATGCCAAATCACACTGCTTCGGTTTAGTCCCTGCCAAGCTTCTCAAAAGATTTCCCAAACTCCGATTCACCACCTCGTCTGACCATCTGTTTGGGGATAGTATGCACTGCTAAAATTCAACTTCGTTCTAAGTTTCTCCCATAAACTCCTCCAGAAATGACTCATAAACTTAGTGTCACGGTCAGAAGTAATTGACTGTGTAACACCATATAAATGCACAATCTCTCTGAAATAAAGATGAGTAATCTGAGTAGCATCCAATATCTTTCGGCAAGCCACAAAATGAGCCATCTTTGAAAATCTATCAACCACAACAAGAATGGAATCCATCGCCTGCTAGTACGAGGTAAGCCCAATACAAAATCCATGATGATATCAAACCAAGGAACTTCAGGTACGGGTAACGGCGTATACAATCCAGCATTAGTAAGAGCTCCTTTAGACCGCTGACATACATAACACCGCTCCACATAATACGCCACATTACTGCTCAACTTGGGCCAGTAATAATCAGAAGAGACCAATGCCAATGTCTTGTCTCGTCCAAAATGTCCTTCGTTATGAAGTTCACTAATAATCTGCTACCTTAGTGAACAATCAGGAATGCATAACTGCAATCCACGAAACAGGTAACCATTATGTAAAACAAAATCATGTCGATGATTATCAGTTACCTCCCGAATTATCTTCCCAAATGAAGGATCTGCAGCATACATATCAGGAAATGCCTCAAATTTGACAATCTTGGTGCTCATGGTGGTGAGGAGTAATGTGCGACGGCTCAATGCATCTGCTACTCAATTCAAACTCCCTGCTTGATGCCTTAGTGTGAAACTAAACTCCTGCAAGTACGCCACCTACTTTGCATGTCGCCTACTCAGCTTATGCTAACCATTGATGTATTTCAAGGCCTTATGATCAATAACAAGGATGAACTCCCTCTGTACCAAGTAATGATGCCAATGCTTCAGAGTCTGAACTATGGCATAGAACTCCAGGTCATAAGTGGAATAATTTTTCTTCAATCCCGATAGCTTCTCACTGAAAAGGGCTACTGGACGCCCTTCCTGACTCAGAACACCACCAATACCAACTCCAGACGCATCACAGTTTACCTTGAACACCTTCTCAAATCGAAAGTGCCAAGACTGGGGCCTCCTTCATCTTTAGCTTAACCAACTGAAAGCTAACCTTTGCCTCCCCGGTCCACTGAAAATAGCGCCCTTTAAGGCACTCTGTGATAGGAGCAATCAAGGTACTGAAGTTTCTAATGAACCGACGATAGAAGGATGCCAATCCATGGAAACTCTTGACATCGTGCAAAGTTTTTGTCTTGGGCCAATT